TTTTTAGTTGTCTACAACTGTGCTTCAACCCACTTTGTGAAGTAATCAATTGCTAATAGAGTGTATTTATGATCTCCTGTCCTAGGAGGGGTAATTTTGCCAATAATATTAATTCCCCATATAGAGAATGGCTATGGTGAAGTGTAGGTGTAAAGTAGAGATGGAGGAACATGTTGTAAGTTAGCGTATATCACTACAACAAAAAGTGGAATAAGAATCGCATAATATTGAACGTTCAAGTTAGCTAGGCGTTTTGTATAATTAAATAGAACGCTTTTCACTCATAAGCAATTTGTAAATACACGAATAAGGAACGGTTATAATCTAACTGTTTTCTATGATTTTTATCCGAATTAAAAAAAATGAATTTCAAAAGATATTAAACATTTTTCTTTCCAAACTGTTGTATATTCTATATTTTGATTTCTACAAAAGTGATACAAAAACCTAATTTCAAACCATTCTTTTCTAGCCGCCATCTAACTTCCTTGTACCATCATCTTCTCTCCAATTCACAAACCTCGAAAAAACTAAGTAGTGGTTCTATAAATTAAAATTCCCTTGTCAACACTATGAAAATTTCTTTTTTCATCTGAATTACTTTATTGAATATATTTTTTTTTGTTCTTTCTATTCTTTTTGTTAGGTTCAAATCACTATCCTTCATATAAGATGGAATTGGTTCTTCATTTTCGTAATTTAGAGAATTTTGCAAATTTTATTAGACAAATGTAGTTTAATACTCGTATCTGATAATCGATGCAAGGTCATGAAAGGTTTTAATCAACTCCAAGACATATAACCGACAACAAATTAGGTGAGGTTTGTTCTTCATCTCCTAGAACTAATTTTGGTTTGATGCATTTTTAATTTGTCATTTTTAACCTTACGAATTTTTGTATTTAATTTGTTAATTAACTGTATGTGAAAATGATGTTGATGATCTACTATATTATTTGATCGATTTCTTATATTAAGATGATTCTTCGATTTCATATGAAATGAAGAATATAAATCATTAATTTGTACGATAGGTTTATGTTAATTGATGAGATTTTATGGTTAAATTATATTTCTTGTTGGACAATGATTCTTTAAATATGTTATGTCTTTGTTTTCTTGGGAATGAAACGAATGGATTACACCATTACATGTGTTCAATACTTTATAGTTTTGCTTGCTTTAAGATTACATATGTCCTATTTTTTTAAAAAAAAAATCTTTAAAGTTTATTAATACATCTTATACAATTTTTTTTTGTTTCTTTTGTATACAGATTGATCAAATACAGAGAAAAATGAAGATCATATATATTTGCCCAAATACGGAGTATCTCATGAAATAGTTTATATAAATCTCTTGTTATTCATTTTATTTGTATTAATTCTACATGGGTTTTAATTTTTTTCTTGTAATTTATTTTACATGTTTATAAATTTTATACGATTTGGTTCTTACGGTACATTGATAAATGCAATGCCCTGTAATTGCGTATATAATTTATTTTTTTTAAAAAGAAAAGGAAAAAAGAACGGTTACCGTTCTCTTTTCCTTTGTTATTTTTTTATATTATGTGAGAGAAAAGAGAATTGTTGCCTCACATGACCGTTTTCTTTTCTCGTACATTAATATCGCCTACCCCAAAAGATCCATAAACTTTACACATCGCTTAGCAGAAGAACGGTTGTGAGGCATTTTATAAGGCCTATTTAAACAGTTCTATAATCCCATTTTTGTAGTAGTGTATTTGGTATTTAGGTCATATTTTTACATATTGATACAATCCCTATTCATGGTAGTCCAATAATATCTTTCTCACATTATCTTTTGGACTAGCATTTTTCCATTAACATGAGCTCCGCAAGTTCCTTCGTGAACTATTCTCATAGCTCTTTGGGCTTCCTTTTTTCCTACACATAAGAGAGCTCGACCCTTAGGTACCCTTTTGTGTAACTCGTTGTCTATGAGCACATATTGGGAAGCCAAGAATCTTAATGCTCGTTTTGCTCTTTTGTCAGCATGAGGAGGATATTCTCCTTTGGTGACATAATTGAGTATATTTGTATACCATGGTTCTTCTTCTTCTTCTTCTTCTTCTTCATCTTGGACCACTTCATCATCTTCTATGGCTTGAATGTAAGCTGGTTTATGCCTTTTTTTCTATGGTTAAATGCATTTGCTCGATTTCCGTAGGAATCCTAACCATTGAGGCAAGTCTTTCTAAGGCATCAGCAAATTTGTTTTCTTCTCTAGGTAGGTATGTGTATTCTACCTTTTCCAACTGGTTGGTGAGAGTTTCCAGATAAGTTTAGTAAGGGGCTAAACATTCACTCCTTAATTTCCATCTTTTAGATATTTGATTGATGATCAGGGAAGAATCTCCAAATATTTGCAATTTCTTCACTCCCAATGCTAAAGTTGTTTCAATGCCTACCACGCATGCTTCGTATTCAACAGCGTTGTGGGTGACGTCGAAATCTAACTTTATGGAGATTGGAACATGCTGTTCTTTAGGTCATACTAATAGTACTCCAACGCCACATCCCTTTTGGTTTGAGGCTCCGTTGAAGATCCAAGTATCATCTTCTGTGACCATCAAGTCTTCATCGGGAAATTCATTTTCATGTATTGGCATCAAATCTTCTATCGGGAAATCCACTAAGAAGTCCGAGACCACGGATCCTTTAATAGCCTTTTGAGGCATGAATCTTTCATCAAATTAGGCTAGGTTGACTATCAACTTTGATATGCGCCCATTGAGTGTAGATTTCTCAAATAGGTACTTGAGTGGATCCATTTGAGAAACTACGAAGACTGTATGCACGAGCATGTAATGTATTAGCTTGGTTGTGGCCCATACTAATGCGAGGCACAATTTCTGAAGCGGTGTGTAGCAGGCTTCGTACTCGAGCATTTTCTTGCTTAGGTAGTAGATTGCATTTTCTTTTCCTTCTACTTCTTGTGCAAGCATAGTCCCCATTGTCTCCTTGGTCACTGTTTAGTACAACCTAAAAGGAATCCCTAGAAGCGCTGGTGCTAATACGGGAGGATTTGCGAGATAGGCTTTGATCTTTTCAAAGGCTTTTTGACACTCATCGTCCCATATTACTGGCACATTCTTTTTGAGTTTCTTTAATATTGGTTCACATATCGTCCTTAGCTTTGATATGAACCTACTTATATATTGCAACTGGTCAATAAATCCTCGAATTTGTTTCTCGGTTTTGGGCGGTGGCATTGACCTGATTGCCTTGATCTTGGTTGGATAATTCTATATTCCTCTAGAGCTTATGACATACCCAAGAGTTTTCCTGAGGTGACTCCAAAAGCACACTTGGATGGATTCAACCTCATGTGGTATTTTCTTAGCCTTTGGAAGAACTTTCTTAAGGCTATTTGATGTCCTGGGAAATTTTTTTATTTCCCGATCATATCGTCCACATATACTTCAACCTCTTTGTGCATCATATCATGGAGTAGGGCAGTTGTTGCTCGTTGGTAAGTAGCACCCGCATTTTTCAACCTGAATGGCATTACCGTGTAATAGTAAGTACCCCAAGGTGTTATGAATGTCATTTTCTCCATGTCTTCTTCTTCCATGAGAATCTGGTTATACCCTGCGTATCCATCCATAAACGAGAGAAGCGCGTGATTCGCTGTATTATCTATTAAGATGTTGATGTGTGGTAAAGGAAAGTCGTCCTTTGGACTCGCCTTATTTAAATCTCGATAGTCGACACACATTCTTACCCTTCCATCCTTCTTTGGAACTGGGACCACATTTGCTACCCATTCAGGGTATTTGGATACTCTGATAAAACCTGCAGTTATTTGCTTTTGAACTTCTTCTTTTATTTTAAGAGCTACGTCGAGTTTCATTCGACGCAACTTTTGTTTTACAGGTTTCATTCCTTGAATTAGTGGTTTTGTGTATTGAGCTAATTCTCTATTAATACCTATCATATCTTCATATGACCAAGAAAATACATCGATAAATTCTTTAAGTAGATTAATTAAATCGACTCTTTCTTCTTTATTAAGCGTTAGCCCGTTTTTAACTTCTCTTTTTATGGTTAAATCATTGAGATATCAATTGTTTCAGTATCCTCAATTACTGGTGTTTTCTTTTCAAGTGTTTCCATTGCTTTAATAATTTCTTTGTCATTTTCATTGTTAGTTAAGCAATGCTCGTCATCTTGGGTTAGAGAATAACACGAGGAGTAAGAGTAAGAAGACATGTTATTAAACTTGGAAATCATTACATTAAATAAAGAGATGTCCACAAGGATTTGATTGCTAACTATCCTAGGAGTAGATTCTAAAATAGAAGAATTAGAAATAGGGGGTGATACATCTAAGGACATGGAACACTCTGTTGGAAAATACTCGGACTCTGACTCAGACGACTCCTCACACATTGGTCCTTGTCCTGTTGTTATTGAGATCTTTCTTCCGCTCGAAGTAGTCACCTTGACTGTCTTGCGCCATCCTTGCACTAAACCCTTTGCTTGAGTGATGACCTTCAAAAGGGTCGAAATTCTCGCTTTGTAGAACCGTTTGAATGAGCGAGGAGTTGTCCACTATATACTTTGGCTCATCCTTCTCGCGTCCAAAGAGGAGTCCCATGACATTAAAGTCAAAACATGGGGGTGCTTTCTTTTTGTGAATAGAAGTTGGGATCTCATCTAGAATGTAGCAATCCAGAAAATTTTGAACCCCGGTTGCCTTATGCCATTTAAAACAAAGGGTTTGGGAAATTCGTTACGTGGATAGTCCTCTCTTTCTCTTATAAATTCTCCATTGAGAGTAAGAGGATATCGGTTCATTGGGATCGCTTTCTTTTGGGTGCGAGCGTTCCTACCACTACTTCAAAACTTGAAAAAGATACCCTTAATTAAAGACCCGTTATTTAACTAACGGGTTTATTTGATATTAGAGATCCAATAATAGTAATAACCAGTCTCTTATGTGTATGAATTTTGGTGCAAGAAAAAAAAGGAGAGATAAGAGACGCGTTATCAAACCTAACGGGTTTCTCTATTATATTAGGTCCCACATGTTAAATGGTGGGAGAAAAATGAGAGTGATAAGATACCCGTTGTCTAAATTATTGGATTTGTTACCTTTGATCTTGACTGCATCAATGATTATTGCGCTTTATTTTTTTATTTTTTATTTTATCATTTCCCATATTAGAAATAAAAACGTCATTCATATTCTCTCTTTAAAACCTTCGCCTATCCCCAATCCCAAATCAAAACCCTCATCCTCTCTTCTTTATGAATGAGCCGTCACTTACTCCAACCCCAACCTCAATTTTTTTTATGAAATTCTCCTTCAATCTAGTGTTCGGCCGAAGAAAAATAAAACAAAATCCAATACCATTAAATTGGATCTATATCATACATTAAAATTAACCCGAAACTTTTGATTTTTTCTGCATTCTGCTTCTTAATTTACCTTCACTTTAATGTATGATGTAGATCCAATTCATCAGACCACGTTGTTATAGAATTAATTTCCAAGAAATTAAGAAGAAAGAGAACAACAATGAAGGCAAATTAGAGTAGAAAAAGGAAGAAATTGGTACTACAGGTGGATAAAAGACGACACACAACGTATTTCGGCTGCTAGAAGTCGATGGAGATCGTCATGGTATCATACCCTTTTAATTGCTCCTAATTGAAGGTATACTTCAATTCTTCAACGGTAGAGAGATAATGAACCTCCTATGATAATAGTCTAATAGATATGGAATTATTAATAATTGTTGTCTGATTAATGATCTAACTTTAGATCCAAATTGAGGTAATCTATTTAAAAATTTATTTTTCAATTTCAGAATTTTTCTAGATATTTGTATATTAATTGAGTTGTTATTGAACTTTTGATTGTATTTTATAATTTTCTTAACAAATTTATTCACCAAATGTTATGGTTTTTTTTTAATTTTTTTTTAGGGATAACTGAATGTTATTGCTGAGTACGACGTATAGCAATTTCTTGTGCTATAAATTGTAGTAGTTGCTTGTGATGTTGTGATTTGTTTCAATTCAATAACCTGTGGTTGTATTTAATTTTTCTTTTTTTATTTATTATATGTGTTCTTAAATAAGTTTTCTAGTAGAATTCTTATAATGATTGATTATTTTGTTTTAATTTGTTTTGTCAGGTTTACGTGACATAATTCTTAAACAAAGGAGAAAGAAAATGGAGTACTCAAGCCTTATTGATGTAATTACATATGTAATTAAATTTCAGTAAATTAAAAAAAAAAATTGTTGCCATTGTATGTCGGATGATTATTTGTATCACATCAATTTTAATTTAACCAATTGTTATTTTTAATAGTAGAGTGTAACTTACAATTTTTTATTTTTCCGCCATTTTTATAAACATGAAAACAAAATTTTCAAAATTTAAATGCAAAGCCGCCAAACCACATAAAATAAAGCAAATTTTTTTTTTTTTTTTTTAAATCTAGAGAATAAAAAGTCCCGTTACGTGAAATGATAGGTTTGTTTGATACCACTAAACAGACACCATATCTTAAATAACAGGTCCCTTTTTCTTCTAAATTATTTATTTTATAACTAACGTAACAGACCCGTTATCAAATACAATGGGTCTTTTTGACCTTATAAACAGACCCTCTCTAATGAAGAGACCCCTGAGATAGTGACTTAATATGAAGCGGTCTGTTAGGCATATTTTAATGGGTCTGTTCGCCAATTTTTATAGTTGTGTACGCGCTTTAGACTTTTCCTGGGCTCTGTTTAGATCTTCTAGAGTCGGTTTGAAACCAAGTCCGAAAGTATTTATTTTAGGGAGGCCATGTAATTCCACTTGCCTTGCTATCTCCTTTTTCTTCCTAGGGTCATTCCCTGAAAGTGTCCCTGTTTCTTGAGAATAGCTTTTGCCGTCATATTAGAGTGGGGGTCATGGTAAAGAGAGGTCCTTTCATCTTCCTCGATTAGGAGACCTCTTCATTAAAGCCCTACAAGTCTTCATCATTCTCATCATGCTCCACATTAATAATCGGATTTTCAACGGCTTTAATCCTCATTGGTAAAACATCGATTGTAATAGGGATCCCTCCAACTATGGCCTTTACTTGCTGATGAAGGGATGAAGGGATGGCCTTAAGGTCATGAAGCCAAGGGAATCCCAACAATAAGTTAAAGGAAGCTTTAATATCCACTATTTGGAAGGTAGTGGCATGTTCTATTGCTCCCGCCGTTATATTCATGGTAATCTTTCCAAGAGCTTGGCAACGAGTGTTGTCGTAGACTCTTATTCCATGTGTCGATGGGGTCAAATCTTCATCCCTTTTTTAAAACATCCTCGCAGTTCTTAGTGCACAGACATTGATTGCCGATCCATTATCTACAAGGGTCATTGGGACATTCATTCTCTTGTAGACGAGTGTGAGGTTAAGAGCTTTGTAATGCTTGTCACCTTCCGGAGGTAAATCCTTGTCAAAAAAGGTGATCAAGTTATTAGGAATAGGGAGATCACACGTGAGAAAGTTAACCAACCCCTCAGGAGTGGTTTAAGAGTCTATTCCTATCTTGTCCCAAGGCGTTCATTATAGCCAACCTATGTTCTCGGGATGTAGCTAGAAGTTTCCATACATTCATTTCGACCTTGGTTTTCTTAAATTGCTTGACAACATCATTGTCCTCTATAATCGGTATGGGAACTTGTGGCATAGTAGGAATAGGTTGTGTGGTAATGGGAGGTTGCATTCTCCCAGATCTTGTGAGGACGTCTATGGGTGAATCCTCTTCATCCGACAAATCGCTTACTGGATATATGACTGAAAGTGGAGGTTCTTCCATATCCTTAAGATAGATGTCTTCATCATCGCTGTCCCAAACCCCATTGATGCTAATATCTTGTTCTTGTGGAATTTGGAGTAACTTCTTATTATCTATCAGCTTTTGAATTAAATCTTTAAATTTAAAGCAGTTCTCGATGGTATGTGCCCCCTGATTGATGATATGGACATTAGAACCTATCTGTCCTCTTTAACGACTCAAATGGTTTCGATTCGGGAGGTTTAACCTTACCATTCTTGGAGAGCAATTTGAACATTTTATCATAGGAAGTCCCAATTAGAATGTAAGGCTTATTACTCCTCTTAGGTATGTCAATTACTTGGAGAGAAAATGGTTTCTTCTCCATAGGTGGAATTTTTACATGCTTGTTTTGAACCACCATTTCTTGTTTCTTCGCGAATTCAATAGCTTCACGAAACAAGTCTATTCCCTCCCACATTGATCGTTTGAGAATCCATACTTCTTACTTAGTTGTGGGTTCTTGCCCGGGAGAGAGATCACTCAAGGCATCAAAAAAGGTTTCCTCCTCTTCTTCGATATCATGAATTTCTTCAACCAGTTTGATGACTGATGAAGGATTAACATGGTTTCCCTCATCAGAGATAGCCAAAGAATTAGAGAGGGGTGCACTGTTGATGCTTGGCTTCTTGCTTGAAGGGGGCAATGGAAGCTTATTGATGTCGATCAAGTCCTTGATAGCTTCCTTAAGCTTCTAACAGTTTTCAGTGAGATGGCCCTTGCCTTGGTGATACTTGCAATGTGCATAGGGATTCTACTTAGCTGTCCTCTTTTTGACAGGTGGATCCCCGAATGGTCCAATGGGAGTTATAAGACCTTTTGCACCTCAGTCAGTCGAACGCGGTGTCATAACTCATACCAATAGGAGTAAAGTTCCTCCTAAATGGTTTCTTTTGTCCTTGGTTGTTCATAGCAAGGACTTCACTCAAATTAAAGGTGCTAACGTTATTTGAGTGGGTGGTTTTTAAAGAAGAAGGTTTGTTGTTCTTCTTACCTTTCCAGCTACTGCTGGAGTTGTTATTGTTAGCAGCTTTTTGTTTAGCCAGGTCCTCTTCAATATTAGTTCCAATGTCATAAGCGGCCTTGAAAGTATGCAGATTGTTTTGGTTTTTAAGATGCTTGAAGTACTTTTTTTGGAGGTTCTTAATGAACATCCTCACAAATTCCTTTTCACTTGGTACTTCAATCATCCTAGGAGAAGTTTCTCTCCATTTATTAAAGAAAGAAGTGAAACCTTCATTCTCTTTTTATTTAAGTATTTCAAGTTCTATATGATCAGTTTCAACTTGAATATTGCATTTATATCTATCAATGAAAGCGTACAATTGATTCCCAAGTAGAGGTTTTCTCCTTGTCAAAGGAAAAGAACCATTGTTGAGAAACGGTTTCAAGAGATAAAGAAAATAAAGAATGAAAACCTTCCTATCAATCCTCTTAATATTCATTATAGTCTCAAAAGCTCTTAAATGGAAATAGAGGTTGTCAGTAGCCATAAATTTTGGGATGTCGTTGGCATTGAAATTCTTCGGAAGAAGCTCCTTCTCCACCGAGACCCCTTGCGAGCAAATGCCCTGGAACCTGTAGTCATTAGGTATCTTGCTCAAGATCTCTTGCATGAGCTCCATTTGTTGTTGCTTCATAGGGTCATTGATTTGGATGATTCAGGTTCTTAGCACCTCAGTAAAGCTAGCTATTTTCTTCTTGAGCTCATTCACTTCTTCTTGACTCGCCATTATCTTCTTAGATTTTCTTTTCCGACTGACTTGTTTATCGAAAAGTTGTACTTGAACTCAAAGTTTGTCTCTAATTAAACGCCTTCCTTTCTTAACCACATGCTGTAAATTAAACCATTTTGTTTTTTTTAATGACTTGACACAAATTGACTTTGACTTTATCGGTTTATAAAGAGAAGGAAAAAAAAAACAAAAATAGGGTGCATATTTTTGGGAATCAAGTACATGGTTTCAAACAAGTGGTTTAATTGGAGGATTAATATCTGACTTATCCCCCAAAAAAATGATGGAAAACACGCTCATACAAGACTCTCTAGACATGGTCAAAGTATACATACATATTAGTGTGTGCTTTATTTATGAGTACGAGTGACACGCTTTGACTCTTGTGTAAGACCATGGGACTAAGTGCTTAGACTCAATTAAGGACTAAATATGGTTACTGTAATTAACAAAATAACAAAACTGATAAATAAACTGCTTAATTAGACTCGTCGTGGTGAGTCGAGCAAAAACCTGAACTGTCGCTAAAGCAACAAGACTGTCGCCGCACTCTTTAGTGCAACGCTAGACAATAGAGTTGTCGTACGGCGTTGCACAGCAGCATTTGGCGCCGCAGCCCAAATTTTTGCGCCATTACTGGAACATTAATCTGGGACTGCTTTCAGTAATTTTACTCTACGGGACAGGCCTAAAGTCGTATTACGTAAGTTTTGATTAACTTATTAAACTTTAATTACTCAAATTAATTAATTAGGCAAAGTCCTTTTAGTTATCGGTCAGTTTATTTAAGCATATTCAAAATTACAAAGCAAACCAAACAGTTAGTTTAATCACATGTAAGTATGCACAAGCAAATAATGCACAAGTAGTCACAACATGATGCAATGAGTTTCCAACCTAACCATGGCTCTAGTTCTCTAAAGTTCAGGTTATGGGTTAGTTAAAGAGGGTCCATGGTTATGAGTCTAGATGCACCGCGCGGAAGCCTTACCTTTGGAAGGGTTGGCGCGTGTGGATGGGACCCCGCGAGTCAAACTCGCTTCCATGGTTTGGTGAATTCAACATTCTCGGATGTTCTTTGTTGCTTAGAGCGTTTAATCAAGTAGATGGGGCATGAATTCTCAGAGGGCTAAGTCCATATGTAGAACACATATGGTTTCACAAAAGTGAGAAAAACTCAATCAGGAAGTAGAATCAAGCCAATAGTGCTAGAAGTGGTCGAAACAAGAATGCAAATTTCTTGCTCGGTATTGGAAGAACGCGGAGCCAGACAACAGAGTCTATCGCTAGGATATAAGCCCTGTCGCCAGGCGACAGAACCATATCTTCGACAACATGCTCTGTTTTCTAGACGCTGGTTCCTACATGCCTCAGCAGCTTTCTGTGTTCTTAGAATTTTCTAGTTTTCGTAGTATTATTTTGATTCTGGTTGTGAAAGATATTTCACAAATTTCCTATGTGTAAAAATCCTATGTTTTTGGCTCATTAAGGATGGTCTTTCCAATGAGAACCTTTTTTTTGCATATGACAATAATGTTAATCAAAATTACGCACATGAAATACTTAAAACTTTTCGAGTCTCATTTACTCATTCTAAATAATTGCCAAAATAAATTTTAGGAATTGAAATTGAAATCCTCCCTACAAGAGTCGCCAAAAACTGTAGGGAATATTTCAAGCATTACCCCAAACTTGAACCCCACTGTGATCATACACTTAAGCATGGTGGTGTCCAAAGGGAAGGAAGCTAGAG